GTGAAAAATAGAATGACTGTATGGGTACAGAATGGTTATAACCGTATTGGTTGGTTTAACCTTATGATTTTGTAGCTGACAGGGAATGACTGACTGTGGCTGACTGACAGCTCATTATAGCTGCCCAGCAACACAAGAAAGTATCATATCACATATCACCAGCCCAAGAAAAAAATCAAAATGCTAAGTAAGGTTCCTACTGAATGCATATCGCTTTCGTATCATCATAAAGTCAAAATAATCATAAGTCAAACCATCATAAATCGAGGACTGGAGAAGGAAATGGCAACCCACTCCAGTATTCTTGCCTGGAGAATCCCATGGACAGGAGCTTGGCAGGCTGCAGTCCACGGGGTCACAAGAGTTGGACATGACTTAGCCACTAAATAACAACAACACAGGCGTCACATTCAACTTAATGTCTAACAACTAATGGCTTTTGAAGACAAATGGGCAAGACAGACATTTATGTTCCCTACTGTGATATCAATACACAGTTCCCACACTCCCCTTTATTCTGCCTATTTAACTGGCCACAGCTAATAGTCTACTCAAACTTATACTCCCCAACTGTTTGTAGATTTAGGAGGAAAGGAAACTGGAATAAACTGATAATTCTGTAAGAATTAGTGTTTCTTGAGGCTTTCCAGAATATAAGACCCATTCTGAACCCTGTGTGGAAAGAGCCCAGAGCAAGGTAGAGGCCTGGTGTCCTACCTCAGAGTAGCCACTGACTTCAGGGAGATGTGGTTTTAGAGCTGAAGGAGTTAACTAGTGCCCTGACCACACCGGAGATGCAGAAAGAGATCCAGGAGCTAAAGAAGGAATGTGCTGGCTACAGAGAAAGACTGAAGAACATCAAAAAGGCCACCAACCATGTGACTCCAGAAGAGAAAGAGCAGGTGTACAAGGAGAGGCAGAGGTACCACAAGGAGTGGAGGAAGCGCAAGAGGATGGCAACAGAGCTGTTTGATGCCATCCTTGAAGGATACCCCAAGAGCAAGAAGCAGTTCTTTGAGGAAGTTGGGATAGAGACTGATGAAGATCACAAGGTCAAGCTCCCAGATCCCTGAGAGGCTCCCCCAGCAGGACTGGAAACAGAGACGTCCTGGACTAGCTGCTGTGTTTAGGCCAGCTCTTTTGTTCCTGGTGCTGTCCACCTTTGAGCACACACCAGAGTACTGGGTGGAGGGAGGAAGCACAGGTGGCCCAGAGAGGATGGGCATACTCATTTCATCAGCCACATGTCGACTGCTTAAACTCAACACTTAGATGTGGAACAACACTAAAGGACAGCATTTGGCAATATTTATTGTAATATCATTTGATATAAAAATATTTCATTTCCTCTGGATAATTACACCTCCCAAATATCAAACCTGAGGAAGGCAAAAAGGAGCTTGGGGAACAAGGGCAGAGAGAGGCTGCCATACACAGCATTCAAGAAGCCCAGGGCCTTACCCAGGATTCTCCTGGGCTCTACAAGTCAGAAGACCTTTAAAGAATCTCCTGTACCCACCTTCACCTCACCCCAAGTCCTGGGAGAAATGTAGGAAGCACTGAGATGGTAGAGAGCCAGATACACTTGACAGAAAGGTTACAAGTAGTCTGGAGGCCAGTTAATTCTCCAAAATTGTAACTTTAGCAAAACTGCATTATTTAGAAAAATTAAACACTTTGAATATGTAAAAAAAAAAAAAAAAATCGAGGACTGTCTGTAATGTTTCTGTGATTAAGTTGATATATGTAGCTGCCAACTATTCATTATCACTAAGTGAAGTCGCTCAGTCGTGTCTGACTCTTTGCGACCCCATGGTCAGTAGCCTACCAGGCTTCTCCATCCATGGGATTTTCCAGGCAAGAATACTGGAGGGGGTTGCCATTTCCTTCTCCAGGAATTCATTATCACTACTATATAGTATTTTACTCTGGGAATAAACCACAATTTTTAATCCATTACACTATAGTTGGAATGGGTTGCTTCCATTTTTCTGTAATCATAGAAAAATACTACCTTAAATATTCTCTATCTTCTGGTGTGTATGTACAGGAAGTTTTCTACAGGGAATATCTAGGAGTAGAATTACTGAGTAGTAGGATACCTGTTACTTCAATTTTGTTTGACAAATGCAATGACAAATTGGTTTCCTAAATAGTGGTATCAATTTATACTCCAATCAACAATGTACATAAATTCTCATTATTCTACCTTTTAGGTAACAATTTTATCCAACTTTTAAATTTCTACTAATCTGAAGGGTATGGTTTAATTAATATTTCTTAGATTACTAAAGAGGGTAAGCCTCTTTCATATCCTTAAAAGTTAATTGGCTTTCCCATTCTGAGAAATGCCTATTTATGTCTTTTGTTAGTTTCTCTGTTGACTCATCTTATTTTTCACTTATTCTTCATGGGAGTTCTTTTCTAAGTGCTATGCTAGATACCAATCCTTGTTGATTATATATAATACAGACACTTTCTCACAATTTGTAGCCCTGTATATTTACTGTCTTTATGGAATCTTCTGATGAACAGAAAATATGTCAAACCTTTTAGCTTTGTATTTTCTATGACTTACTTATTAAATCCTCTCTATTACTTAGGCCAAGATACTCCCTCATAGTTTCTTCTAAAACTTAAAAAACTTTGTTTTTCAAATTTTAGTCCTTAATTCATCTGAAATTCTTACTTTTGGTATAATATTAAGCAGGGATCTAATTTCCTTTTTGTCTATACTAAATAACCAATTATCTAAGCACATTTATTGGAAAATCTAAGACTATAATTTTCATATTAAGTGCACAATAATTAAAAGAATGCAAATAATGCCATCTAAAACAAAGTATGTGCAAACTAAGGCTTAATTATTTAACATTTATTTAGCACTGAGGGATTGAAAAGCATTTTAGGAAAAAAAAATCAAGTTTTTAATCTTCCAATATAGCAAATTTGATAGCTCAGTTGGTAAAGAATCCACTTTCAATGCAGGAGGCCCCAGTTCAATTCCTGGGTTGGGAAGATCCCCTGGAGAAGGGATAGGCTACCCACTCCAGTATTCTTGGGCTTCCCTTGTGGCTCAGCTGGTAAAGAATCTGCCTGCAATGCAGGAGACCTGGGTTCGATCCCTGGGTTGGGAAGATCCCCTGGAGAAGGAAAAGGCTACCTACTTCAGTATTCTGGCCTGAAGAATTCCATAGACTATATAGTCCATGGGGTCACAAAGAGCCAGATGCGACTGAGCAACTTTCACTTTATATAGCAAAAGTGTCTATCTGTAGAATCTGTAGAAATTCTATCCGTAGGAGATTCTCCTACCAGGTATTTCCCCAGGATTTAGATCTCCCTAGCAAGTAACTTGCCCTGTTTTTTTGGTTTTAATGTCATGAACCAGACTTCCCTTGGACTTGATGACCAAAGGACCACTATGTTTCTTGTCTATCTAAAATTAGATACTTAATGTCAATGTACCTTTCAGAAAATCAAGCCAAATGCTCTTTTGAATGGACTTCTGTCTGAATGGGTATAGTCAGAAACGTTACAAATTGTAAAAAATCTTGTTTCATTAAAATTTCATATTTAAACTCCTCAGTTAACCAATACTTTATTTTCTTAATTTATTCTTTTTGTTTTTTTGCTGCACTAAGAGGCACAGAGAATCTTAGTTCCCCAACCAGGGATCAAACCCATGTCCCCTATGGTGGAAGCACGTAATCTTAACCACTAGACTGCCAGGGAAGTCCTCAATAATTTATATCCTATACTTTGCTAAGCTATAATGGTTGCAAACAAAGAGTTGGAAAAAAAAAAGATATTGGTGATCCTAATGGCAAAAAGTTCAGAAGTCTCAGTTATCTCTTTCCAGAGATATCAGCCTACCATGGACTAAAACTTCAAACTGATGTTGGCCAAAAAATTGTTTTGACTCAGCTGTTGCAACTTTAACTAGGATATAATCCTGGAGTTTTTTTGTTATAATTCCTGTTCTCAAATGTAAAAACAATTAAGTTAATAATGATCACAACCAAGCATCCTTGTGACAAAACTAAGGATTCAGACTTCATGAGACTGAAAAATGACCCTAGAAGCTTCATCATCCAACCACAAACAATGCACTGTATATCTGGACCAAGAAAACAGAGAGGATACATGTTGGAAAACTGATGGAGAATGGGCCTTTTATACATCCTAGTTCTTTCTCTTTAGCAACTTACCTAAAATCTCTGAGTCAGAACTCTCTCGCATTACACCATTTTATTTTATTTTATTTTTTTAATTTATTTTTTTTTTATCACAACCATAGTGTATCTTTTTTTTTTTTTTTTTTTTTTTACATGTATTCCCCATCCCGGTCCCCCCTCCCACCTCCCTCTTCACCCAATCCCTCTGGGTCTTCCCAGTGCACCAGGCCCGAGCACTTGTCTCATGCACCCAACATGGGCTGGTGAACTGTTTCACCCTAGATAATATACGGATTACACCATTTTATTTGTCTATAAATGAATCCTCAGTTTCACTTTATTCAGAAATGAAAAAATTGGAGTCAGATTAAAATAGAACCAATATAAAGAATCTATTACATGTGATAATAGGAAATATTATGGAATGGAAAAATTTTAGTACTGATTTTTCCTCATAGAAACAGTTTGTTGCTAAATTTAGCTTTAATAGACAATAGATAATTCCATGAAAAACAGCTGTTGTTTTTTCAAAACGAAAATTTAGTATTAGCTTTTCAGATAAATACTCAAAGTCTAAGCACATGTAAATAGTACCCTATCACATTAAATAGAGTTGTATGGGCAAAAGGTTCAGAGAAACAGAATACCAAGTAGTATTTCTTTGCAGCAAGCAAAATTAATCATACTTATCCTTTGCACTAAACCATATGAAGATAATGTAGAAACAAATTCTTTAGCATCAATCTGAATAATCAAACCACCTCAATATCGATCATTTGGCAACCTAATGACAGTGAGAAGAAACAAGTTTGAAGTTTTTACCTTGAGAGCACAAAAGATGCAGGAATCTCCCATGCATTTGTGAGTTGTAAGCTGCCTAAAGCTACGTCGGAAGATGTCCAAGTGCCATAAAACCTGAGGAAAAGGGAAGATACTTCATTACGCTACAAAAACTCCCCATTTAAATCAAGAAGTCAAGCAAACATAGGTAATCATCACAGAAGACATCATTACTCTCAAGGGGAAAGTTCAGTCTAATGTATCAAAAAAAGTCCAAATAAAGTGGAGTATCCAATCAGAGGCACAGATAACCATTTTATGGAAAAAAACACTAATTCAAACATAAAGTAGATCACACAGAGAAAATGTGGTATGACATACATCAAATGTGATCCTAAAGAGGTATTTTATGGGTTAAAAACTGCAGACTAAGGATTTATTTAATTGTCCACACAAGAAAAGCAAGAATATTTAAAAACGTATTTAGAAGCTTGAATTGTAGTGTGGAATTTTGTCTCTGTTAGATTTCTCCATTTTTGGACTTTTCTGAGAGAGGTGTGACCTCCTTAAGTCAACAAAATTTAAAAAATAACAGTAAAATCAACAGTGATAAATCTGTTCCTAGAATGTAACTTTGACAGGAGTGATGAGAACAGCACTTTACTTTTATGGTATTTCTCTCAAAAACCCATAACCCCAGTTTAAACATGAGAATTTTCATCACATCAAATTCCAATAATGGGACATCCTATAAAATACTTGACTATTACTATTCAAAACTGTCAAGATTACCAAAACAAGGAAACTGTGAGAAACTATCACAGCCAATAGGAGCCTAAAGAGATAAAACAAGTAAATGCAGTATCTTGGACTGGATTCTGGAATACAAAAAGACACTGTGTAAAAAACTCAGGAAATCTGAATAAACTTTGAACTTTAGTTAAAAAAGAAACAGTGTAATATATAGCAAAAATGCCTTAGGAAGCTTCTCTTATCTGGAAAACACTTAAAAAGCATCATATCTGAAAAGGCACTACACTTTAGGTGCACCAGATAATAGACACCTCTGGGCCATCTTCGCATTGATACTAGGTATCTATTGGTATATATTTCCAAAAGTTTGTCCCCCAAATAAGTATACCTTTTTACAATAAATGTAATGGGTTCAATACACCTGTGGTATTGAACTTTCAATACCATAAGTTAGAATATTAGCTCATAGAAACAACTGTTTTTAACTTGTAACATGATTATAATAGGCACTCTAAAACTATCAATGTTTTCAAGTATATATATAGAAATATGTATATGTGGATAAATTATATGTTCTATAATTGAGTCATGGCAATGAATGAACTAAGTCTAAAGAAAGGCTAAAACTAGGACCCAGGTCTCCTAATTCCTAAGTCCAGTGCTTTTTATACCAAATACAATGTCATGTCTTTTTTTCTCTCATAACAACTTATTTTCTCATATATCTGAGGTGTAAAGCTAATACTTTACCCAAGCATAATTATCTTAAGATTTACTTTTACTCTGAAGAGGAGAGAAAGGGGAAAGTTATCACTTGAAAGTCAGACTGAGAGGGATGAACCTATCACACTATGGCCCTGATTGGGCAGGGCAGGCAGACAGATAGTAAGCACTGGGGTTTTGAGAAGGTTAATGTGGAAAGCAAGACCAAAGGGGAAAATTTAAACTAGATAATCAACTTAGGGGAATTTATTTTCTACCAGCTCTGTGCAAGCATATCTAATCAGATACTACAGGAGAGCTCAGAGGAAGGAGACAAAGAAGTGGACAAAGACTGGACTCCAATTAGTGAGTGTGCTGAGAGCCTGAATATTATGAGACAAGAATAACATACCTGAAAATCTTTGACTTATGGAAAGAGTTTTGCTTTCTAGACTGGAGGAAAGCAACTAGAGTGATGAGACACCTTAGTCTCAAATGGAAAAAAAAGAAACAGCAGAGACTGTTCAGGTAAAAAGTCACTAAACAAGTAGTATGATCTAGTCCATGTTACCTCCCTTTAGGCAGGGAAGTAGTAGTAGTTAGTTATTATTTCTATTATCATTATTAATCTCCTTTACAAATCAGGCAATTGAGACTCAAAGAGATAAAGTGACTTGCCTATGATCACAGAGATGAACTTAAAAATTGATCTTAGGCTGCTGACCTCAAACAGAGACTATCAAGTATTAGATTTTAAAAAGTAATTAGAAATACAGCACCAGCAACTGAAAGTCGAAGTTCACCAAAAAGAAATTATCCTTACCTGCAAGGCACTGTTGAGGAAGCAGCTGTTTTGTCCTGGCTCATTGCTGAGGCCTTTGCTGGGAGCTATGGAGGTTGAGCTTCGAGGAGCAAACATCCCCTGGACACTACCACGGCCCCCTGAAAAATAATTTCTCTTCCAAGACATTACTGTTCACATTTAGCCTGAAAACAAGAGAAAATTTTGTATCTTTGGGGGAGTCCTTAGTGTTTGTTGAAGTCCTTAATATAAAAAGAATTCAGAATTTAACAAATTTATGTTGAAGGACTTTGAATTTACAACCTTTCCAAATCATATAGGTAGCTCAAGAAACTCAGGCATCCTTAGATCCACAAGCCAGAGCTGTCCTCAACTTGTTCCAAACAATGCCTAAAATAACATGGCACAGGACAAATTCAAACAGAGAAATCCTTAAGTGTTGCTTCCTTCTATTTTTCTTGAACTGCCTCCATAAAATCCTGGTGAAGTGGCTGTAATCCTCAACTCCAACAGAACCCAGGATCAGGGTAGAGTGTGTTCTTTAGGCTTGTTTATAATGCTTCCTGTGGATTGAAGATTTTCCCAACTGGAAGGAGAGGCAGACAGACAACCAAGAATCCAGCACAACTCTCCTCGCCTTCTACTGCCCTGTCCCATTGTCCCATCATCCTCTGAAATAAAAACCCAGGTTCTAAACAATTGGCATAGATTTCAGAAAGCTAAGAAGTTTGTTTGAAAAACATGGAGTTTCTGCTGTTGTTGCTCTGCTGTTGTTCTTTAATGTGTCCCAAACATCTTCTATTATTCCATCCACAACTTCAGAAAATCTCTTCTCTTTTCCTCCGTGACTAGACTAGCCAGCTGTGCCAGAGAGCTTTAACAGAAAGAAAAAAAAAAAATCAAAAGCTTGCGTCACTTAATGACTCTACTAGCTTTGTGCAGTTCTGCCAAGATCAACGTTGCCTCACCTCGCACTATAAACTTGAAACCTTCACAAACAATACACAGCCCTCCCCCCAACCAAAAAAAAAGCCCAACAACAACAAAAAGGAGAAACACTCAACAGGCAGGGGGAAAAGGTGTGAGCAGCCTTACTTTCATAGGAGACTTCTCTCAAATTTTCTAGGAGAAGAAAGTTGATCTGGACAAAAATAAAACTCCAATGCGAACTTTCCACAACCAGGCTAAGAAAAAAATTACCAAGTAAACACATACCAAACTGGGAAATTAAAACAGTTTCTTTTGGATGTTTTGAGTACAGAAAATTTTAAAGGTGTTTTACATGCCCATGGCTATAAAAGCCTATTTAAAGGTGGGAGGGGCATGTTATCACTTTACTGAGTAAAGATGTCCCATCCCAGAGAAACCCTCAAGGTGAGTAAACCATATGTCCTTAATATTCAATCCAAAAAAACAAAATCTTCTTCTGCCTGTTTGTATGTTACATTTTTTTTGCCAGAGGATCAGAGAGATAATTTGGGTTCCAAATCACTTAATCCTCAGATTATACCCAAGGCAGTCACCATCAGAGGCCATCCATTGACCAACAATAATCTTCAACTAATTAAAATGCCAAAGAAGCAAGAGGCAAAAATTTCCTTGGAACAAAATGCTTCTAATATTCACCTTTAAGTTTTCCTATAAGGCAGCCAGGTCCACATAAGGAAAAAATTAAGAATGTTAAATATTAAATTTGGTTTCTAACAGTTGCCCAAGCTTCTCCTTTCCTTCACGCCATCATATGGATGACCTAAAAAACCAAGAATGCTGTAACAGCTTAATCCTTCTCAGATCACCTAGCACTATCTATAATGTGTTCAGTGGAAAAGCTGAGGCACAGGAACATTAAATGGTTGCACAAGAATGTTCTTTCCCTTCTCTAAATTCCCAGACTATTTATAATCTACAAGTCACAATTAAAGTATCTGATTATACATTATAGTGTCATATTACTCTCTATTTGTTTTTATTACTCTTTGTTTTATATGGTGTCAGTCATATATCCTGACCATGAATGACTGTATGAAGTGGAATACTAGCTAGTGTCAGACATGTGCTAAATAATACCTACATTCTTTATTCAATCTTCATAACAGCCCAATCAGTAGGTATTAATAGTTCCGTTTTACAGAAGCGTAAGGGGAAGCTTAAAGACATTAACTTGCTCAAATCAAAGTTGGTAGTGGGAGACAGAATTGTTTGACTACTTACTGTGACTTAATTATGCATTTTATTGTACTATTCCAAAAGCTCCTAACACAGTGCTAGTCCTAATGAAGCGCTCAATAAATACTGCCTGGATGATTAGCACACAGCACCAGGAAAGATCCCACGTCTCCCACACAGACTACAAGACCCTCCACTCTCTACACACACCCTCATCCCACCGGAGGCCACTGAGCAATTTCCAACAAGCCATGCAGCATTCCTTCAGCTTAACTGCCGCAAAGGAATGACAAGTACCAAGCCTCCACTCTGCTCAAAGCCAAAAGAACTTGGCAGCAGCATCCACGAGAAGCTCACTGAAACTCAGCCTGCCCGAGGATACACACCCGAGAGTTCAGGGAGCAAAGGGAAAAAAGGCAGTAGCAGAAAAAGATCCTCAGGCTCTGAAGGGCAGCACTGTGTAGGGTAAGGCAAAAGCTCTCACACTTGAATTGGGTGTCAGAAACCAGAGGTCAGAGCCAAAAAGAACAAAGCCAAGAGGGGCAGTAACAAATGGTCCAAAGAAACACTGATGACAAAATATTTCAATGAAATTGCAGGTCTCGCTCCAAACAATATAATCCATCTACAAAACATACATGAGAAAGTAAATAAAGAATTCTACCCACAAAGCCCTAACAACCTATTCTGGGGAGTGGGAGACACACTGCACTGCATGAGAAATCTCAGTTCCTGGGCCAGGGATGGAACCTGTGCTCGCCCATGCAGTCCTAACCACCAGACCACCAGGAAGCCTTGCATTTATCTAACAACCTTCTTTTTTTTTTTTAGCAGTTTATTTATTTGTATTATTTTTGTTTGCACCGGGCCTTCGTTGCTGTGCATGGGATTTTCTCTAGTTGTGGCAAGCAGCGTCTACGCTCGAGCTGCAGTGCTGGAACTCACTGCAGTGGCGTCTCTTACTGTAGAACACAGGCTTTAGGCACACGGGCTTCAGTAGCTGCAGCCTGTGGACCCATGTGCCCTGGGTTGACAGGCAGATTCCTATCCACTGTACTACCAGGGAAGTCCCTAACAACCAATTTTTAAAAGAAAAAGAACTTCCTAGGCAATACTGAAGTATTTTAGGGGTAAAAGAGCAGAATGTCAAAAAAAAAAGAGCATAATGTCTGCAACTTGCTCTGAAATTGTTCAGAAAAAAAGACTTGTATGTGTGCATACTTATGTATACCCAGGAGGAGAGAGAAAACAATAAATTGAAAACAGCAAAATGTTACCAATAAATAAATCTAGCTGAAGGGTATATGGAAATTCTTTGTTCCATTTCATAGAACTTATTTATAAGTTTCTAATTATTTTCTTAAGTTGAAAAGGAACTGATATCTGCAAATAATAAAACAATTTAAAATTACATAAGAAAATATAAAAAATGTATAGCTATGAGATCAAATTCTGGAGAAGGAAATGGCAACACACTCCAGTACCCTTGCCTGGAAAATCCCATGGACAGAGGAGCCTGGTAGGCTACAGTCTATGGCATTGCAAAGAGTCGGACACAACTGAGCTACTTCACTCACTCACTCATGAGGTCAAATTAAAAGGAAATAAGTATTAGTCACTTAGTTGTATCCGACTGTTTGTGACCCCATGGACTGTAGCCCACCAGGCTCCTCATCCATGGAATTCTCCAGGCAAGAATACTGGAGTGGGTTGCTATTTCCTTCTCCAAAAAGGAAATAAGGCTGGAATACTATTTCTATGAAAAGGAGAGTATGAAATACAATGTAAGGTCAAGTTGTAAGGAGTAAATGATGTAAAGTAATTATGATATTGGGGCTTCCCAGGTGGTGCAGTGGTGAAGAATCTGCTTGCCAATGCAGGAGACATAAGAGACAAGGGTTCCATCCCTGGGTCAGGAAGATCCCATGGAGTTGGAAGTGGCAACCCACTCCAGTATTCTTGTCTGGAAAATTCCATGGACAGAGGAGTCTGGTGGGTTGGAGTCCATGAGGTCCAAGGAGTCGGACATGACAGTGAGCGCACACACACACACAACAACTATGATGTTATTAAGAGGACTGGGACAAGACTTGCAGTTGGAAAATATGGGCTCAATTTCCACATGTTTATTACTTTCTGTAATCCCAAACAAAGTAGCTGTCCTGAACTTTGTTTTCTGGGTCTATAAAACAGCTTTACAATACCTATTTCACACAATGACTGAGATTTAACATGATAGGTATGTCCAAGCAAGTTTTCAAAACAAAGAATAAATTATGAGTGAACTGCTGGGCCTAAAAATAGAGAAGTAAATTTCTATTTGGGCACCTCAGGATACGAGAAAGTTGCAAGCCAACAGGAATAAGTCTTCTAATTGCACAAAAAGAACAATAATAGGCCTCACACAGAGCAAGGTACATATCAGTACTACTGAGCCATGTGCTTGAAGAAACATTTAAATTTTACAATTATTTTAAAAATACAAAGATTAACATGAAAAGGTAAACAACTCAGTCTGTTACAAGAAACAGGGTAACATTTTAGAAGGTCTAAAGAATGACAAGAAAACCATGAAAAGTATCTCAGTTTCTAATGAAGGAACAGTAGCCCCATTACTAGCGATTAAAGCCAAAAGTAACCCAAACAATAGGAAGTCAAACTGGACTACACTGAGATATGCAAACAGTAACCAGAAAATTTGCCCACATTTCTGTTTTCTGTTCATTTGTGGAGCAGTTTACTTATAATTTACTGAAGAATCTATATTTGCCGACAAAAGTGTATATAGTCAAAGCTGTGGTTTTTCCAGTAGTTGTGTATGGATGTAAGAGTTGGACCATAAAGAAGGCTGAGCGCCAAAAAATTGATGCTTCTGAACTGTGGTGTTGGAGAAGACACTTGAGAGTTCCCTGGGCTGCAAAGAGATCCAACCAGTCAATCCTAAAGGAAATCAACCCTGAATATTTATTGGAAGGACTAATGCTGAAGCTGAAGCTCCAATA